TTTAAGAATTGTTCAAATCATACTTGGTGTTGCAAGACCATGTTTACCATATGATACAATATCACACTGTATTTTTAATGCTGTTTCTTTTCTCCCCTCAGTTTTTTTCGCATCATGTAAAGCCCTTATTAGACTGATGTTCAGAATAAAAACTGCTCTACAGTTCATATGAGTTGACCAAACTATAATTTGCATACAGGAAGACTGAAATCCTCTTTTGACTTACCACATGCTTTAGCTGCACTTATGCACAGTTCCTCTGCTACGTACTCCCCGGGCGGGAACGTGAGCACGCTCTCTGAACCGTTGCCCCCTCCTCCATCCTTCCCCACGTAGTAAAGGTGGACAGTGAGGCAGGTGGCGTCCGCGTCCTGCTTGGAGTCCACTCCAGTGGCCGGGTGGAGATGCGCCGCGGGGCCGTGGACGGGTGGGTCCATGTTGGTCAGCAGGATACAGGCCATGTGCTGCGTGAAACAAACATCCACCTGTACAGATAGACAGGAGATAGAAAGTAACATCAGGGGAAGGGATTGGTGAGAGGATGTTGTACAGCGCGTACCGGCAGCCGGACCTCGTACGTGACGATTGCCGATGATGATAAAATAAACATGCTGATGTTTAGCAAATTGCGAGGAGCGCTTGATGGTCTGAACCAAATGTTAAGGCTTTTTATTCAATAGTTGCTTGTGAGCCTCATGCACAAAACCTATGATGATAAAGGACTAAGGGCAGCTACAGGAAACAGCAGCTTGCTTTGTGAATGTGAGTGAATATGATAAAGACAATAATCAATCCATCAGCAAGTTCAGCCACTATCAACCACAAAAACTAAGAATTGTATTTGTTGTTTTCTCATCTACGACGTATTTCCACCTGTGTGACAGATAAGAGTCGAACAAGATATAGTTGGGGATTCAGAGGATGAGAAAACGACTTCATGCTTGAAATCTGCACACATGTCAAAATCACCGCATTTACTTTAATGCACAATCAGAGGTTTCCATCAGTGATCACAGGAACGGTTTGTCTCCACTCGTGTTTTAGTGTTTGAACAAAAACAAAGCTTGTGCATTCTCTGAAATGTGTGAGAGTTTATTTCCGTTTATCTGGCATGCAATCAGCGCTGTGCCGTGGTTCTTGGAAGCTTCAATGAAAACCAGTTGACGTGTAGAACAAAGCAGCTCGTGTGAATGAGATCCAGTGTGAAGCTCGGCAATCACAGCACACTCTTAACTTCCAGGACACATCCGCTTTGAACAGTGGCTGAGATGCTTTGTCAATTCACCGTTACTCATGAGAACCCATCATACACATCACAAGACTGCAGTGCACTAAATCCACCATCCACACAAATACTGACATCGACTCCTCTGGCGTGTGGTTCTGGGCCGCTGGTCAGTTATTGATGACAGGCTGACCGGAGAGTCACAACAGTTTGGGAGGCAGATTTTCTGCAGCATCATTTTCAATATGTCATGTGCTTTGTGTTTAACGCAACCAGTCAGACGTGTCCTTGTTCCCTTCTGAAACAGACTGTGTATTATGGTTGAACGGTCTCATACATCTCATATCATTTTTGTATTTTTGTCTACAGAGTTGTTCACTTTCTTCAACAGTAAAACACACCTTACTAATGCATATAACCCTTGATCAAAGTCTACATACAACATAAAATATGAGATTGACCTGACTGAAAACATGTTTGTGTGTTATATTATACATTACAATATATATTATACAATATAACAATGACAATATTTTGTGAAGTGTGTATTTCTCATTTTCTCCTTCCTGGTCTCAGTATAATTTATTGTTTTTGTTTCCTTTTTTTGTTTTGTTATTTCTATCAGCTGATAAGAGTCAAAAGTATGGAAGCACCACCAACAACATACTCCACCGTCACCACTACTATTGGGTAACTGCAACTTTCATGCGTCAGGGCCATTTCTGCAACAACTGAACTTAAACTGGGTTCCCCTGAATGTTTTATTCTTATTTGGTCATTTCTGGACCTGCAGCACATTCAGTATCCACAGATTTCCTCAAGGATCAGCGTGACGGCCGCTGGTCCAACGTCAACACAACCAAAAAAAACAAACACCATCTGTATATTCACTCAGGAAATCTCACGAGATGTGGATGTATTTGGCAAGACAGGCAACCCAGGATGGACAGGAGAGGCCCGCGCAGGCTGGCAGAACATTCTTGAAGGCAGTTAGTTCTTTCATATAAACACGAGGGACGGCGGGAACGTTGCCCGCGTGCTTTCTGTCAGCGTGTTTACACGCCCATCACTATTATCATGTAGCAGAGACTTCGACCAGCTCCTTATCAGGCACTTGCTGCCGGTTGTGATCACAGTTATCAACTGGGACACATTCCGGCCTCGGTGGCGGCTGAGCTCCAACGCTGGCTGCCGATGCCTTCAAGCAGTTTGTTCGCCGAACAGCTCTCTGGCCTCCCTTCAAGTTCCCAAAAATAGGAGCGGCTCACTAAGCCACGGAGTACAGAGAACGCGCCCCGGGAACCCTAACTGCTCCCCGGGCGACCTCGCGGCTGCACACTGCTCCCGCTGTGTGGCACGGCTTCGAAATGTAACGTATGTGTTGCTTTGGATAAAAGCGTCAGCTAAACCACAGAGTGATACATCCCTCCAGACACCGGACGGATGTACTAAGTGAAAGAAATACGCCTAATGTCTTAGTTGGACAAGAGCGCAGTCCGAACAGTCAACAGTGGAGCCATTCCACACAGGAATAAACGCTTAATTAAAGCGTGACGGGAGACGACAGATGTTACAGACGCATCGACCCCTAAGCATGAAACCTGTTTCTAGCATCACCACGCTGTGTTGAGATTCCTCGCATGGTGCCCAGCTGCGCAAAGCTGAGGGTGACAAACTCCGCCGATGACTACAGGTTCTGAGGAACCCGCATAACTCACCATGTTTCTTGTGTAAAGAAACATGGTGAAGAGGAGCATCTCTTGCCTGCTGGTTGTTCCAGTTGAAGTCACCAGTTCTCCCTCTTTGCCATTCTTGATCTTTGATGATTTCTTTGTCCGACGCTATTAAAAATAATTGATTTAGAAGACAGCAGGCAGGGAAGGACTGCCGAAACTGTTTGTCCGTGGGAGGTTTGTTTCTCTGAATAACAGTACGGTTGTGTGTAAAATCCACTGTGTTTCTGCTCACCCACTTCCCATACACTGATGCAGCAGTTGGAGTGGTTTGAGTGGGGTAACACTTCCCCAAAACGCTCTGCCAAAAACACGCGAGTAGGTTAAGTGCGCTTTCTATCTGGAAAGGCAACACTACTAATGCTTCTTCTCAAGCGATTCATCCGAGGCGGCTCTGGACGGTGATAAACTGTGAATCGCTCCGACACGGCTCTCATGGTGAAGTTCACTTTAACGACTAGATGGAAAGAGAAGCACGAGGCTCACATCGTCACAGCGTGGCATGTTTTTTTTTATTATTTGGGTTGAGATCTGGCCCGGGAGTCACTCTAAGATCCGGTACTTCAAAGACGAGCGCCGCGCGTTATTTAGCCAACGTGTGATGATGTGAAGCTGTAACTTTTCTATTGTTGCTGCGTGTTCCCTTTTTAAATGGGCCAACTCCGTCTGCTTTCCTCTCCATTTCAGCAGCTGACTGTGCAGTTCTTTGTATGTGACCTGAATATCAGCGCCAGAATGATGTGCTTTCCACGTTGCTGTGCTTCGGCAAGCACCCTAATTAATCACACATGTATTTGTGTGTGTAAAAAAAAAGTGTTAGAAAAACAGATGCGCAGCTCGACTTTCCCGAAATAGAGACGCCCGTGAGTCTCACCTTGTTGTGATAAACGCGCCTGATTAAAAAACCAATATTAGTACTGCCGGTTGTGGCGTGACTCAAACGTTTCGAACAACACTGCCTCCCTTCTCTTAACCAGAGAACACTCGCCGCGTTACTGAGCTTTAACGGGAAAATGACATGACGGCTGTGCAGAGAAATACTTTGCTTGGCTTTTCAAATGGATTATTTTGAAATATCTGTATAAACGATGAGGCAGCAGTTACCAGTTTATTACTATGTACACTTAATTGGACGAATGCAGCTTCATTGGAGAGCGTGCAAATAAACCCACAATTTTCCATTTCTCCCAACTGACAGGTGTGAATTTAAGTGTGTGTCCCACTGCATCAGGTGTCTGAACAGGATTCTCTTGTGTGACCTCATCTTAATTCTAGCTCGAGTAAATTGGCGATTCTCTTATGTTACGCGTTACACTTAAAAACATGAGTAACATATTGTCATTTCAAACTCCTAAATATCCATTGCCCTCAGATGTCCACTATGGAGAACTCTCCTCAACCAGAACCTTTATTGCAGGGAAAAACATCACATGGCTTCAGGTCGCTGTAGGCCTTCCTTTATAAAGCAGCTGTACATCCAAACCTGAACTTCATACCTCAGATCGGCTCCTCTGCCCGAATGAAACACAAGCGCGCCACAGAGACCAGCTGATTCTCTGCTGAACTGGACCGTTGTTGTTCTTCAGGGACCTCAAGACACAGCGATCGCTTTCAACATCTACACCCACACGCACGCACACACACAACTTACCCCGTGTGATCGTCTTCCGTTGTGCTGTTGCTGCGCGGACTTGTCCAAGAAGTCCTCGGTGCCTCCGACAGCAGCGCGGATGGAAACCCCCCCCCCCCCTCCCTCCGCCCCACCTCCCCGCGGGTTGGACGCGCGTCCCCGGACTTCACGTCACCGTCGCTTCGGTAGGTGGCGACCGAACCCCTGACCTTCCGTTCCCGCGAACGATCGTATCCGTTGACCGAATCCCTCTGCCAGCTCACATGGCGGCGGACTCCTCCTTCTCCTCCTCCTCCTCCTCTCCCCAAACGCTCGACGGTCTCCTCCAAGTGGAAACGTGTACGCGGCACCGAGAGATGAGCGCGCGGGCGGGCGGGGCGGGGCGCCTCTTAACGGGTCTCTTCTGCCCGAGCGACTCGGTCTCTTCCGTGTTTCATGCGGAAGCGTCATTAGTGTTGGAGCCGTGAAGAGGGGCCCCGGGGGCCGCCGGAGAGGTGCTGGCTTCTTTTCTTCTTCTTATCTGTACTTTTACTTTATGGTCACGCAATATTTAATGTGGAAGTGTGCTATAGTCTTCAATCCGCTTTTGTATGACAGTTATATTGACTTTTAAAGGTAAAAAGCACAACGTGCAATAAGCAATAAGGCATGTGAAGACAAATACTAGCACATATAATATCTAATGAAACAGTAATAAAATGACTTTCGGGAACTATTCTGCAGAAATGAGAATTTCAACAATAACACTTGCAAACATGACCCTTTAATTGTACACAGCACTAAGCAACAAGACAGACCAATATGACAGATAATGAAGTCCCTTAAAGTCATGACACATGCAAACATATTGCTTCAATATAAAATGTGGACTGGAGATCAAACCTGTTTTTGGATTCTTACCATAAAATAGTTTGAAGCTCTCACTTTCTTATTTATGCTGTAAATATTCTATATTTGTGCATTTTTTATGCAAAAGCCTCTGGATAACCCAGAGATCTGTGAAATGCCTGTTATTTTGACTTTTTGTTTGACTACAACTTAGCACAAATTGCATTTTCCTTCTATTATTGTGTGCATATCTTTTAATATCCACATGAATAATCCACTCAGAGCACATTACATGAAAAGTACAGTATTGTCTTCCAAAAGGTTTTGATACAAGATAGCGTTACTGGATTAGTTTGTCTTATTTCTTGGACAAGCTTTTCTGTTCTGCTCCAATAAAAGCCTCTGTTGAGAGCAGAGCTTCCCCTTCAGCTGGGAAAACAGACGTGTCAAACTTGCGTCGTGTTTAGCTTTTTAGAACATTTATGGAGACCTCACATTCTGAATTCCAACCAGCCTCAACCAAACATTTGATTACAGTACGTAATCTGTCAAGATCTGTTTGACAGAGCCAACTATGGTGTGGTTTGAAAAAAAGGAGGCCATAATAGATATAATATTTTACTCAAGAGAGAAATTAATAAATCACCTGATCACTCCTCACTCTCTCCCACTTTTATACAATCCATCCATCTGTCTCGTTCAGTCCATTCGTTCTCTGTAGCACAAAATTCCTCTTAAGCTATAATACGTAACAATAAAAAGTTTTCCAACATATTTAGGCCTACGTACCAAATGGACCATCCATCCACAGTAGAAAATAAAGTGTATTTTGGCAACTAAATTACATTACTTCAGTGTGTTGCATGCCCTGTTTGCTAATGTTCACAGTTCCATATCTGGGCCCCTCTGCTGGTGGAATTGAGCCGCTCAAGGGGTTAATTAGTTTACAAGCTCCTGCGCAACCCCCCCCCCCCCACCACATACACACACACACACACACACAGCTGTCTCATCAGAAAACCCGGGGAAGACCGCATCCCTCTGCATGTGTCAGTGGTTGTGGTCAGACTGTCGGACATCTGGCCAACAGAGACTCCCTGCTCTCTTGAAAGTTGATTTTTATTTTTTCAACCCGCCGGATCCGTCACCACGGGACGCGTCTACAGTAAAAGGTGAGGGTGGCTCCGCACGTCCATCTGTGATCGCTCTGTGTTGTACTGACTGTGGCACATGAGTGCAGTCCATATGTTAATAGGATGTGAAAATTGTGATTGGGCTGTGAATCAATGGGCCGAATACATAGTTCTACCAGGGTTTCCAAAACCTTTAGCACATTTCCAATGTGATATATAATCACACTGTTCAACCAAAAGCAGCAGAAAAAGGTCCAGAACCTTTTCGAAAAGGCAGCGTAGTGAAAAGGCAATTCATGCAGCTCACACGATTCCTGTATTTGACCTCTCAAAACTCCATAATGTTCCATAGGTCCACGCAGACTATCATGTCGAGCTCCCGTGACACCCTGCGGTTTCGTTTCCCCGCCCACGGGGACTCCATCCTCAGCAAAATCAACACTCTAAGGCAGGAGCAGCGCTTCTGTGATGTCACGCTCCTCCTTGGGGATCCACGCGACGCCAGCGGTCAGCCGCTCCACTTCCACGCTCACAGAGCCGTGCTCGCCGTCTCCTCGGACTTCTTACGGGACCAATTTCTGCTCCACGGAGGCCGGGCCAAGCTGTGTGTGGGTGTGGTTTGCTGTGCGGAGGTTGGCAAGAGGCTTCTGCTGTCATGCTACACGGGGCTCCTAGAGGTGCGATATGATTAGAGCGTCTGTGAATGCAGTGTAACATCAAGGGTTGTAGTACATGAACAGACATAGGGAACATTTGTTGTTGCAACAAGAAAATGGAGTGATAAAAGATGATTGGTAGGACTGTGGTTATTGGTTGTACTTCTGTGTTTGTGTATTTTATGTGCATTTATAGCGGGCATTTGGTATTTATAGTGTTTTTTCTATTTTTTTTCCATGCATTTCATCAAACATGGCTGATTGTAGGTCCCTCTGAGAGACCTGGTGAGCTACCTGACTGCCGCCAGTGCGCTCCAGATGAGTCAGGTGGTGGAGAGGTGTTCCCAGGCCATCTCGCAGTACCTCGGCCCCACACTGGCTTTGAAACCTGCAGAGAGACACTCAGAGGAGAAGGACAACCAGCAGCCAGACAGCGACCAGCCAGGTACCAGCTCCGGAAATCAGGAGGAGAAGGATGCGCTGCTGGCCAGCATTAGCGTCCAGGAAGCCAGTACGGTGGAAGAAGTCAAGTCCATGTCAAGGTTTGGTAAGGGAGCAATGATTGGTAGCCGGATGTCAGAAGAAGCTGGAGACATGAAGCCTGCGAACACAAACCAGCCACCCTATCAAGCTCAGCAGGTTACAGGTGCTCTGAGATGCTGCTCTCCCACAGCCTTTGAAGATCATATATCCCCAACAACCGATTTAAGCTCTGCTCGATGCAAAAAAACGGTGCGCAATATCCAGAACCAAGAGAAGGACGCCGAGGAAGGACAACGCGAAGAGGGAAAATTGTTCTTGCTCGAAGCTCAACCGCAAGAATGTGGCGAGCCGAGGGACACCCATCTGTTTTCCATCCCTGGAGAAAATCTGCCAAAGAGCTTTTGTTTGTCTGGAGATGAGCTGGAGGGACGCTCGGACAGCACATCGAGTCAGAGGCCGTACTTGTGCAGGAGGTGTGACAGAGTCTTCCAGCACCTGGAGAGCTACCTGGGCCACCTGAAGCCGCACAGACAGTACCTGTGTTTGGTCTGTGGGAAGGGTTTCTCCCAAAGGATCAACCTGGTCCGCCACATACGTGCGCACACCGGGGTCAAGCCTTTCCGATGCCCGCTGTGCCACAAGACATTTTCCCAAAAGGCCACGCTGCAAGACCACTTCAATCTGCACACAGGGGATCAATCCCATAAGTGCAGATACTGTGGCGTGCTCTTCCAACACAAGGTCGGCCTGAGGCGCCACCTGAAGGACATTCATGGTAGTGGCCCGCAGAACAATGATTGAGGAGGCTGTGCACTGACGATAGAGCCGCAGTCACGACACTACTGTCATTATCATGGGGTTATTTGTAGTTCAGAGATCTAAATAACTTTAGGAGCATGTCAAACAAAGTCTATCGTCCGGAACTTTCAGCGAAATAACTTAGAAGAGGATTTAAAGAAATGGCAAAATAGAGGCGATCACAGAGGGCTACATAAGTGTTTTCAAATCTATGAGTTAATGCACTTCCCCTGTAACGTTTGGCTAATGGACAAGTAGATTTACAAGTAAATTTCCTTCTGTGCCATCTGCGGTGTTCTCCCGATAACTGCCGGCACAAAACATTGAATTAAGTGCTGTAGCATGAAATGAATAAGTTCTGTTATGCTTGAACTGGCTGAGTTGGTAATCGTTTCAAACTGATTTTAGAATGTTATTATAATTTATAGGTTGTACTGACAACTAAGTGTGTGTCTCTGTGCCGTCTGATTTTTCTGCTTTACCAAGAAGATGTTCCAGAATAAACTATTGAATGAGTTTTAAGACTGGAAGTTATACAGTGAACAAGTTAACGCTGCTTTAATTAATGCAAAACAATGCAGAGAAAACGGTTGACTTGATAAAAAGAAATAAAATGCCTTTGTGGCGTGAACATGTCTTTGCTGGATCTTCTGCACAGACTGAGTCCCGACTCCTGCTGGCGTCCACAGACAACAATCACTTAAAATTTGACCCGACTGAAATTTTCTGCAGCGTGCTGAGCAGTTAGCTGCAAGTGAGTAGGTGCTCCCGCATAGCTGAGAGGGTTTCCATCCACTCTTTCTTTTCTCCTTCAGACATGTTGTTTGTGTTGACTAATGAAGACAGAGAATGCACGTAAATATGGTCAAAGACACACCAAAGCATCCCCCACACAGACCTTCATCAGAATAGTTAGCTACGCGCATGTCTGTGTGGATTTGCAGTCTACATCCTCACAGACAGACAAACAGTATTTGTGGCATTCTGGGCACCTCCATTATGAATGAGTGTCTGAGGGGGGGTGAGGGAAATGGGGAAGATGGGGGAGCAGTGCTAGATACAAAGACAGTGATGAAAAGAGGGATGGATGTCATTTGAATATTGGTTCTCACAGTAGTTTATTGCTTATTTTGCAACTGTCCCTCCTCCTCTATCACCGCTGCGTAAATGCCCTTGAGCAAGGCCGTTTGCATCCCAAATGCGTCTAAGGGAGCATGAGCGTAACCGTGTGAGGCGATACCTTGAACATACGTCATGTCAGCAAAACTTAAGGTACAGTATTACAGTGAAAAAAATGTGCTTATTTGATATCTCTCTGAAGATGAAGAGTAGTCCCAAATCAATTGGGAAATGACCCGATCAGAGGCAAAAGGGACTTAAAGTCTCCATCTGTGCAGAAGAACACCATACCTCCCTCTCACTGTGTGGCTCCCCTAGCGGACAATGGCCCAATATATAGTATATATATAATTATTTCTACAACAACACAGACAAGTCGCCAAAATCTCTTTAACGCTACTGAGATGAACGATTGAATCAATCCTTAGGTATCCAACTAATAGGATTAATCTCAGTAGGCCACGATCCTAACATGGCCCAGCGATTTATCACCCACTCTCAATGCGAAATTACATGACATAAAAATTGATTTTAATAGATAAATTACTATAGTTACCATCAAATGTAGTAACAACCTCATGCTAATAATTACATTTAAAGCCATTTTTCGGCGTGTTGTAATTAGTTGGAGGCAATGGATATGGGTTAGGAATAAACTGCAAATAACGAGGAAGACAGACTAAACGCGGGGGATGTGCGTGCGTGCGGAACTTCCTCTCGCCGGGCGCACTTGTCGAAGGGCATCCTCTGCCGGTGTGTTGCTTTAAAACCACACCGCCCACGCCTCGAAAAGCGGCTTGTTCCGGCTTGCCCCTTCACGTCTTTTTCATTTATCACTGCTCACGCCATCAAAATAGTGCCCGACGCCGACCATCGCGCGCAAGCTTTTTTTTTTTTTTACCCTTCTATTTAATTTTTTTTTTAAATTGATCCCTCGCAGTCGCTCGGAGTGCGCGCGAGATGCGCATATAGGCGGTGCGGCAGCTCTCCTCCCGTGCGGCCCCGGTCGTGAGTCGGATGAGGCGCAGTTCGGGCGCCCGTCACCCGGCGGAGCGATATCAGCATCTCCTCCCAGAGCCCGGTTCGTCTAAGCGAGAGCGCGCGCCGCACCGCACCTGAGTGAACGTCCACCGTCACGCGCCACCGAGAAGCGGGGCAGAGGATCCAAACTGGACCCACAGACCGGCCTTTAATGCGCTGAAATGCAAAGCCATTTATTTCCCCGGGCTGGCTGCTGCAGTTGTTTTGCAGCTGATGAAGATTTTTTTTTTTTCTGAATTCTTATATTGATGCGCTTCGCTGGATGGATGTGTTTATCCTGGTGCTCGTGGTGTAGTGCGTGAGGTAAGTGACTTATCCAGAGGTGCGCGCTACTTTCGCCTGCTCCTCCAATCGAGATTTGTGTGTTTTCTTGTGCGCAAAGCTTTTGACATTTCAATGTCAGACTTGCTGCGTTTTTTTTAACATTTTTTTGAAAATATGAGCTCATTTGAAAAAAGGATTTGCAGAAATAAACACAAAATGCAGTTGTAAGACCTGGAACTGTTTGTCTACCAGTTCATCATCAATTCCTGCAACTGGTTCAAATGAAATGTCATAAGAAGGCTGCTTGTATTAAAACGATGGGCCCGCAGGTCATGGCTGGATTGTGCAAACAAGGGTTTTCCGTAAAAAGTTGACCCTGCGTGTTGTAAAGCAACATGGGATTGTAGAAGATGGCGCAATGGTGGAGACGTGATATTTATGAAGGATCACGTTTGCCCTCTGAGTGACTCCTGAGTTACAGCACAGCTAGTTTTCAAGTTCAGGTTGTTGCATATTGCCTTCTGAGTTACTACTGGAGTTACTACTGGAACCTGCTGATTTGCAATTGGAAGCAACCTGATACTCTTAACAATACCATCCACGGCTGCTACAAACTACAACTTCTCGACTCGAAGCTCCTATTGCGGCAGCCACATCTCGGAGGGGTAAAAAAGTAGGGCCTCTGTTATGTATTTGGTATAATACAGGAGCCTGTGAGCTGCCCCCACCATCCACACACTGTGATGACAGTCCTAATGAATAAATAATCACAGACCCACTACGCTCAAAACAGGCGAGTGGACTCAAAAACAACTTTAGTAACCCTGTAATGAATAATGGAACAAAACATTCAACAACAACAACAACAAAAAGAGCTGGTCTTGCACCATCGTAACCTTGAGCTTCCACTCAAAAAACGCGATTCAAATTTCTACGTGTGTGATAACGCCAAACATGATATGATTCATCGCTGCACACTGCGTGTGCACTAGTGTTGTGTCACTTCCAGAGTGCTGACCGCCGGAGTAGCTTTTCTTCTGGAAGATAAAAGAACATTGTGAGTGAGTGAGTAAGTTGAACCTTCGTCATTTCTCCGCTCGCTGTGGTTAGTGTTAGTGCTTTCACTCTGAAGCCCACGCACGCTGCCTCCTACGGGGGGTTTGTTTTTCATCGCTTTCACTTGTTGTTGTTTTTGCCCAAATTTGATTTATTTGTGCATATGCAACTCAAATCCTTTTGAACACAACAAGTTACCTGGAATCAGATCATCCAAACAGAAGTATCTAAACTCTAGCGGCCTTTACGTCAGTCTAAAGCAACATTAGTAACAATCCTACGCTGGCAGGAGTCCCTCTGTAAATACAAACATGGAAGACTGATGGAGGTACTCCCCGAAGGGGGGGGGGGGTGATCGCTATCACCTGGTAGTGAATTAGCTTGTTTCCACGGCACATTCAATTACTGAATGAAACAGTAAATCTTGACTTTTGGGACCTTAAGGTACAATCTGCGCATGAAGGCCTCCAGTCTACGTCTATATTTCATAAGTCTGTGTCTCACACTGGGTTTACTGATCTACTGACATCAGAGTTACATGCACGTTCTTATACAGTCTCTCACATGCCTACACACACACACACACACACACACACACACACACACACACACACACACACACACACACACACGCTACAAAGAATATTCTAATTCAGGGAGAAAGAGTCCTCATATTACTGCAGATTCATTCCCTCCAGATTCCACTCATGTGTGTGCGTGTGTATGTGTCCATGTGTTTATTAGTTCCTATTTATGTGTGTGTACGTGTCTGCATATGTAGCTGAGCAGTTTTTGGATATACGTGCCTGTTTGTCCCTCACATGACGCGGGACTTGCACAACCGCCCTGGGAAAGGAGAAAACGATGACATGCAACACAGATCCTTCTGTATTTCCTGCTAATGACACTTTGAGTTGCGTTGTTGTTTTCAAAGTCCCGGTTTTCTATGGCCAAAGGCATGCTAATGGTAAACTAGTCATGCCCATGTGAAAGATGTTTTCCTCCTGGCAGGGATCTTGTCCCGTACCACCTGGTTTATTTCCATCTAACCTTTTGCTGGAAATGTGAGAAGATCCACTTTTACCCTTAAGGTAACCTGACCTTACCTCCACGGGAAGTCTCATCGCGGATCTGAAACAAAGTCAAAGTCTAATTAAGACCCTTGAAAAACTGAAGATGGGCCAACGTCAGGGTTTTAAAAACAAACAAACGCTTTTTCTCATTCCGTCTCTCCTTCTCTATGAGACATGCCAAAGGAGACTCCATGTCCTCCTCCGCACAGAGGGGGGCATGTGAGAACTCACTGTCCCAGATGAAACCTCGCCAACTGTTGGCTGTAAAGACACAATGCACCTCTCATCTGCGCTCAGCACAGAGAGAGAGACTCACCAGGCCACCCGGAGGGAAGTACGGCTTAAGTCCATCAGACCTTTCAATATGTCGAGGGATACTTTTCACTTTAAAGTGTAGACTGAATGTGCTGCATTTTATTTATTGTATTTAATATGCAAGTTCCCACCACAAACCAGTATAGGTGAATTGCAGGCATGAACATATGTGAAACAATGCAAACATGGCTGGAAAGTTGATTTCCTCATTTTTAAATGAGGAAGGGAAGCCTGATGAGGAAGTCTAGCTTTCCTGTGACACCACAACATGCCCACTTCTTCCCCTCCTTTTCACAAGAGCAGATGAATCCACTCATGTTCGCATACATGGAAGGGAGGTCTTGTGCACAGCATGATATAATGCACTGTACTTATGCATATTTTATGAATGCAGTCGTGGTGTGACAGTGCACGGACCTGGACCAAGCCCTCTGTGCGGGAATCATTTCTGCACAGAAGGTACAGGCCAGACTCGTATTCTGCTGGGAGCTGTCAGTAAAAAAAAAAGGAACCTGATAGGACGTAGCAGTTGCTCAGAGCAGGAACAGGTGGTGACTACAGCCGTCGAATCGCTGTTCGAAACAGTTGACCCCCCCCCCCCAGAGTTTGCACCACTCCCCAATCCGTTCGCACGACGAAGGGGAGTCGGATCCACGCTCACGCGTGCCAAGACGCCGCTTTTGTCCTCGCTCTTCCTCGGACGGTACTCACTCAGTAAGTGGGCTGCAAACGGCAGCAACCGGTGTTATATTTGGGCTCGTCGCAGAAGGAAACATGACGCGCGAGGACAGTGTGGAGCTGTCCATGCGATCAGGGAGGGGGTCCCTCAGGGTCCCTCGGGGGCCGCGCTACGTGGGCAGCGCGGGAGGTGCGTATATATATATATATATGCGTGTCAATATAATGTTATGATTTTAATAAAAGTGTCGGACGATGGGTGCGTGAAGGGCAGATTTCCACTTTTTCTTTCTGGAGGACCAACGTGTTCACACTGTAGAGCTACTTTATTCATTTAAAGGGGGTGTTTTACTGTATCCATGAAGCCATTTGAATAGGCTTTTGTTCAGATTATCATGGCACCTGTTTTGTGAGGGCACCAGCTGTCATGTTGGTGGGCAGTTGGAACAGATGCAGCGACAGGTGCATGCGGCCTGCATGCTGAAACACTTTGCATAAGGATGTCTTCCATTATGTTGCATGCATTTATTGAACATTTTCTTTTTGGTTAATGGGACGATGCATCAAATAAGGTAAGGAGCACACAAAGTTGTAGAAAATATCTTATTATACTGCACTGTCTATACACTGTCTGTATCAAATAAATAAAGTAAAAATCATTTAATTCCCAACAATTTTCCTCTGGGAGAATTTAATTGCTTTCAATGAAGGGTTTGATCTAAAATATTGTTTGGGAACATTTGGCACGAGTAAACACATTCACCCACAACCTTTCCCTGAAACAGGGTTTATCGGTGTGAGCGTATCAGTTGTCCGGGAAACTAATCATTCAGTATTATTATTATTATGTCTAGGCATAGAGCGGGATTGTCTGGAAGAGCAGGAAGTGGAGGCTAAAATAATTATTGTCCTCATCCATGTTTTTGAATGATGTCTACCTCTCAAATATTGGGTTTGGACTTATTTGATTTGATGAATGAATGGAATTCAATACATGTTACTGCCTACTTTGATTGTTATCGTTTGATGGTGTTGTTTCAGTAGTGTGCAGTCGGTGTTGGGACTTATTACCAAACTGGGATCACAGCAAGGCCTGTTACTACTACGTCTTAATCATTTTCCAAGAATTTATTTTGGGTGAGAGTGCTATTTGCGCCCAAATTAAATAAATATATGGCTTTTATAGCCAAAGTGGCAGGCGATTGCCTGTGTACTTAAGTTAGACTTAATTACATTAACTCTGCTCCTTTATTTGTTGGAAACAAATACAAAAAATAAAATAGGTAATTTTCTGTTAGCTAATGTAGATCACGTTCATTCATAATAGCACCTGTACTTAAAGTGTCACAATACTTACACACTCCACTTAATACATTCTCTATAGTCTTGTTGAGTGCGAGTAATAGAATTAGTCCTAAAATAAACTAGTAAACTTTCTGCCGACAAACCAGCAGTGCACGTTCTCAGTTGCAGCTCCAGTGTTTGTGCGTTATGACGCGTGTCTTAACTTTACGTCCCGTGTCTCACAGTCGCCGTTGGCACTGGCAAGCGGGCGCTGTTGTCGGGGCTCGTTGGCATGCGTGGCCCCTGAGCTCGCCGACGCCCCCCTCGGTGGTGCGCTGGCAGGATGCCCGTGCAGGCGGCCCAGTGGACGGAGTTCCTGTCCTGTCCCATCTGCTACAATGAATTTGACAGCAGCGGCCACCAGCCCATCAGCCTGGGCTGCTCCCACACGGTGTGTAAGACCTGCCTACACAAACTGCACCGCAAGGCCTGCCCCTTCGATCAGACGCCAATCAGCACCGACATCGACCTGCTGCCGGTCAACTGTGCCCTGCTGCAGCTGGTCGGAGCTCAGGTGAGTCCGGGGTGGTATTTTTGGGAGTTAAAAACCTTTCTGTGTGTCTGTTTTTTCACGCCTGGGCCCTCGTGATGTGTGTCTCTTAGGTCCCGGACGTGCAACAGGTGAGCCTGAGCAGCGCAGCAGAAGTCGAGAACTACGAGGCGTGCAAGGTGTGCGTGGAAGAGCTGGCTGTCTACCTAAAACCCATCAGCGGAGCGAAAGGTTTGTCCCTAGATAGGCACGTCTGTTTTTTGGGTTTCTGCTTTTGGAGTTTTGAAACTTTTGGGCATCTGTGAAAGAGAATGAAGCTCTTCTCGCTAAACGTGCGTGGGCTGCGCGACTTGGCTTTTCACGCTCCTCACACTTCCCACGGCGCCTGGAAGCTGGACTTTTATGGTTCTGAGGAAAGATTGTTTCTCTCCGCATAACCAGACGAGAAAAGATTGACCTCCCTGAAATGACCAGCATTTTGTTTGTTCATTCAGTGTGACGGTGCTGTGGCAACATTCATTATTCATTCATCATTTGGAAGATCCACTTTGTCCTGTTCGGGTTCCTTAAGAAGCACAAACCATTTGCTCATCTTTGCAGGAGGCTTGTAAATACACGTACATAGTACATTGTAACGGACTTAAACAATGTTTAATCAAGACGAAATGAAGACTGCTCACCAAGGTAAATGTTTCCCTCGTGAAAGTTCCACGGTGCTACAGAACTGTCGCCTCTCCGCAGGCGTGGCGGCTCTGAATCCCAGCGTGCTCAGTCGGCCAATGCAGAGGAAGCTGGTGACCTTGGTGAACTGCCAGCTGGTGGAGGAAGAGGGCCGCGTGCGGGCGGTGCGGGCGGGCCGCTCGCTGGGGGAACGGACCGTAACCGAGCTCATCCTGCAGCACCAGAACCCCCAGCAGCTCTCTGCCAACCTGTGGGCAGCGGTGAGGGCGCGGGGCTGCCAGTTCCTGGGACCCGGTGGGTGTGAATGACACACGCAACACGCACGTATCGGTGACATCAGACATCTCGCTCTGAGATAAAAGATGCACAGATGTGTGAGGCTACCAAGACATTGGATTTACAAGACATTTGATTGGAATTTTTTGGCAGATTCCACATAACTTTTATTTTATTTTGCAAATCTGATGGAGACAAGTGCCTCATTCAACAATATCTTCCTAAGTCTACCGGAGAGTTACTTGTTTATTTTGAATCACATTGTTCCAGTTGATTCTACCTAGCAGGTAGAATCAACTGCTAATGACAATAATACAACATTACAATGACTAATATATTTTATTGGAAGCATTAATAATGTAAAAACATAAAAAATATTTATTTATAAAGTCATCAATAAGGGCCAAAATGCATTATTACTAACCTTGTGGTATGCCTGTCTTGTTAGCCTCACCCAAGTGGCTGCTGGTGCTGGTACCCGGTGTCCTGTGATGATTACTCATAGGGCAGATTCTGACTGGGAAACCGTTTCTCATCATGATAACAGAAGGAGTTCATTGAAAGTCTGAGGACACCCGCTTGCAAGACCCCTTTGCCTGTTGGAAACAGATTGTTTGATTCGTCAATTAAAACATGCGTTGTATTTTTTTTTCATCCTCCCAACATTCTCACCTGTTCCCGTCGTCCGCTGGACACCTGCATCCCTCCGCGTCGCTCCCTCTTCAGCTATGCAAGAAGATGCTCTGAAGCTGGTTTTACTGGCTCTGGAGGACGGCTCAGCTTTGTCCAGGAAGGTGTTAGTTTTGTTCGTGGTCCAAAAGCTCGAGGCTCGGTTCCCCCAGGCCTCCAAAACCAGCATAGGGCACGTGGTGCAGCTTCTCTACAGGGCCTCCTGCTTCAAGGTACGGGCAACGTGAAGCTATGTTTTACAAAAACTTGTATTCCTGTGAGTTTAAGTATAACATGTTCCACTTATTAGACTTCATTAAACGTTTCAACTGTAGTTTGAGCTCCAACCTTTATTGATGCTCATATTACCAACATCATATTGCTACATACAAGTGCTATCTGTAATGAGGATACGAGCGTCTGTGGATAAACTTTCTGTCTCTGCGTGTATTTCTGTGCCTGTTATCTGATGACAGACATTGCTGGTAGGGCAGATATGCCAGCTATCTGCTCCTGACTCTATATTTGCCCTCGATGCCCCGCCCTGTAGGAGGGAGACAGACAGTGTCAAAAACTCACACACACACACACACATAATAACAAGCAATAATAAGGAAATCTAATTCTTTCGGTTGTAATCTTGACTACTCTAATCTAAACTAGTCAGATTTGTTATGTGGTAGCAGGATGTGTGGGTGTGTGTTGGTGTCTCGTGATGATTACTCATAGGGCAGATTCTGAGAAGGGGGGAATCCTCCCTTGTCTGATCTGAATTGGAGTTTGTGAGTCTGAAGACACCACATGCCGACTAACTACTTGCCTATATAAAAATACAGATTTGCTAGTTATGCTAAGGTATATTATAACTAGACTGTCTCAGATGACGCATCATACCTGCAGAGTAATTCTCTGTAACGTCTCTTTTGGAATAAATAAATACAATTTCATGCCGACTTTTCCAGAGTGTCTTGTGTATTAACAAGGAGTGAAATTGAATGTTAGGGTTAAGATGAATAATAGTACTTTCATTCAAGGGCAAAATAACTGTCCAACTTTGTCTTTGCTCTCAATCCCCCTCTTTCCTATTCTCTCCCTCTCTCTCTCTCTCTCTCTCTCTCTCTCTCTCTCTCTCTCTCTCTCTCTCTCTCTCTCTCTCTCTCTCTCTCACTCTCTCCATTGTCTGTCAGGTCACCAAGCGGGATGAAGACTCCTCGCTGATGCAGCTGAAAGAAGAGTTTCGAACGTATGAGGCTCTCCGGAGGGAACATGATGCTCAGATCGTCCACATCGCCATGGAGGCGGGCCTGCGGATCTCCCCCGAGCAGTGGTCTTCTCTGTTGTACGGAGACCTGGTCCACAAGTCACATATGCAGTCCATCATTGACAAGGTACCAGCATGACGCATTTGCCCGTCATGAGCACCAGGCTGTCATTGTGCTTGCCATTGACGCTTGCCCCCGCCCCCCCGCCGTGGGTATGACAAGCCTTTGGAGGACAGTAGCATCGGGACGAATTCATCTCTCTTTCATTTTCTTTTAAAGCCTCAGTCTCCTCTTCTATCTTCTGCTCCAGTTGCAGTCTCCAGAGTCGTTCGCAAAGAGCGTCCAGGAGCTGACGATTGTCCTGCAGAGGACGGGAGACCCGGCCAACCTCACGAGCCTGAGGCCACATCTTGAGCTGCTGGCCAACTTAGACCACAACGCAGGTGTGTCAGTTTGTTTGTGTGAATGAATGCTAATGAACCTGAATGATTGACACTCCTCAGAATAAAGGGCTTGTCCTGTTCCTCAAAGATTATTTGTATTAATGCAAAGTGAAGCAAGTGGGGAAGCTGCAGCACCCACATATCAAAATACAATTAAATAGCCCAAAAGAGACGATTGAAGCTACAGATTGCTCCTGTGTGTTGAATATTTATTGACCACAGTGTTAGAAATATGATTGCACTGTATTGTGAAGACTTTAAATTGATTTAATGGTATAACTAATGGATTGCCATGAAAGCGGGTCCCATTCTTATTTGAAAATTAAATATTAAATATTTATTAAATAAATTCATTTTTAAAATGTGTAATGTGTCGAGCACTTTGGGTTGTGACCAGCTCTAAAGTTAGCATGGTGACATGCTAAACTAGGACTATGAACACAGTAAATGTCAGCGCTTCACTGTGAGTGTTGTGGCATAATATTATTATCACTGTGATTAAGCAAAGCCTTACGAAGGCTGTGCACACTTTGTTATTTCAACCTTCAGCACACACTCTATAACGGAAATAAAAAGGATGTGTGTCTCATCATCCAAAAGATACTCAACTGTGTCGGATGATTCTTTCTTTGTTGCCTTTTTCCGATGCGACTCTCTGCTAAACACACCGTGTTGTTGACGTGTTCGCAGATGCCCCGGCGCCGTCATGGGAGGAGCTGGAAAGCGTGATGCTGGCTGTGAAGTTGGTGGTTCATGGACTCGTGGAATTTATACAGAACTTCAGCAAGAAGAGCCACGACGCTCCGCAGGTACGCCGGTGCTGTAGGAACAGATTGTATTGATTATGGTATTTAAATTAGAAGAACACAACAAACGAAAAAAAATGATTAGATGATGTCCAATACGAGGATAATATTTTGTCTGCCGTCATCCCTGGCAAGTTCTGTCCGGTGCCAAGTGACACATTTTGTGGCTCAAATCAAAAATTAAAATCCACAAAAATGACCATGGTAGTGTTTTTATAAGCTATAAACCAAAACATGTTTTTCTGTTTGTTTTTTTTGGAGGAAAACAGGTTTGAAATGGAACATCTGTTCAGTCTCTGATCAAGCTAATTCCAAGGCATTTACTATTCATCTGTTTGTTGGCGTTGACTTGAGATGTGACGTGACAGTAAAGAGTCGTCTATTTGACACCGCTTTGGTGTTTCCCGTGCCTTCAACAATTACAGAAATGAGTTGTGCAACAGTGTGATGACAAAAAATGGAATCGCCATGGATACGCTGTTAAGCATTAACTTCCATCTTGTCATCATGAGGATGTTGATACCAGGTGTAAATGTATATCTTTGATTAAAAACATACATGGATTGCTTTAATTTTACGCTAAATGTGCGTTGTGTCCGTGCATTTTACAGCCTCAGGCCAACAGCAAGTACAAGACCAGCATGTGTCGAGATCTTCGTCAGCAAGGAGGCTGTCCGAGAGGAACCAACTGTACCTTTGCACACACACAGGATGAGCTTGAGAAGTGAGTCCCGTCCCTACACAGCCGTTCCCAACCGTAATCAAATTAGAATGTATTATTTATTACTTGTGTATTTATTTACTGGGTGATTTACAAGAGGTCCTCCTTTGTGCAACACGTAATCTGTCCCCACAATACTGAATTTCCCTTTTGTCCCGTCATCTCTTTACAGGTTTAGACTGAGAAACAAGAAGAGCAGCAGCGTGGGCCGGCCGTTCCCGTTAGCGCCGGGGGTTATGGGTAAAACCTTCACTATGGAGGGCAGCGTCCACACAGACGTGTGTACAGAAATGGGGCCGGGGCTCAAAAGCAACGGGGAGAACACAGACTCCCCGACAGAGGCAGTGTCCGACCTGACTCACCCCCAACTGATCTCCAGAGGGGCCGACATGATGGAGGACACGAGTAGAGCGGCGCCGAATGTATCCAATGCGGCCAACGGATTCAACGGCATGTCGACCCGAAACACATCGGGGTCAACTGAACAGTAAGAATCATCATCCACTGTTTCACCAAGGCTTCCATGCCTTCTATTTGATGCTTTTTACCTCGTGACAGCAGATCCAGTTTAGCTATTCACGTGGAGTCAGACATGCCCAAGTGAATATAGACAATAAGTAATCAAGCAATATAAAAATAGGTAATATATAAACATAAATAAAGTTGATTGAATCTAGTCAAATCATTTGATTTGACTAGACTCTTATTTACGTTGTCGTTCTGTCCACCAGGAAGCCCGTCTCCCCTCCCAGGACACCAGTCAGCCACTCTTCAGCGTCATCTCCCTTGACAACAGTCGGGCGGGGTGATGGGGGCGCTCCTACGCCCAAACATGGTCAGTTCATAGTGCGTGCACCACATCCCTCTCAGGCGTCAGAGCTGTACTATCAGGAGTCCCACTCCCATGCATACGACACGCCCCACTATCAGCCAGCCTGTGAGTCAATCGTTAAATAAAAGGATCAATTAATAAGACATAAACGTTATTGTTTTAATGGGAAATAATGTGGTCGTCCATCCCCACCCGTCTCTCCGGCAGGTTCCTACTACCAATCCACTCTTCACCCTCCTCACAAACCCTGCATGGCTCGCTTCCTTCGATCCTCCAACGTCCCAGAATCCTCTCTGCCGCCCTCCGTTGGCCCTCTGTCGTCTTCCTACGCCGGTGACCCTCAGGCGCCCCACCCCACTTCCTCCTCTTCGTCCGGGTACCCGCCCAGGGATCGGATGGGAGCTCCTGCCTTCCATCACCACCACCCGGGGCAGCCTCAATACGGCCCTCTGACCTCTGCACACGGCGTTTACGCGCCGCTCTACGACAGCAGGAGAGTATGGAGGCCTCAGGTGAGCCGCCGGCCCACAGTCAAGCTGCTGTTCATTTGCTACTCGTGGCTGAAATTGATGATTTCTGTCACAAACAGCTGTACCACAGAGAGGATGCCAGGAGTAACTCACTGCCTCCGGAGGTGCTGCATTCCTCCGTCTACCAGCCTCCACTCAGGGAGAGATTCAACTCTCTAGACAGCAACTACTGCTCTGCAGCTGAACACCGCGCAGGCCTAAACAGGGTAGGTCGGAAATAAGGTGCATGGTGACGCCGCGGGAAATACTCTCCTCCGATTGGCTGAAGGGATTTATTTTTTAAATGACGCAACGTGACCCGTTAAAAAGCAGTGCTAACGGGCGCTTACGTGGCGACTTTTGTGAGGGTATTTACAAGGTTCCCAGAACAAGCATATGATCCATTTTCAGACAATCATAACCTTAAATTACAGTGTATTTTAATTATTGATTGATTATTGATCCATATTAAGACATGCAATAATTAGATAATAATGCTCTCCGCCGAAGGTTGCATTAAAATGACTTTCTGTTGTTAACCGTCTCGCGTACAGCTTCAGGAGTTCTTTTCAGCAACATTTCCTTTCCTTTCGTTTCTCTTTTTACACCCACACATAATCTCACCTCTACGGTCCCTGCCAGCCACAGAGCTGCAGTTTGTAGCATCAACCTCCTCTGTAGTCCTCCCACTGCTCATCCAAATACGTTTCCGCCTCCCCCTCTCTCGTCTCTCCCTTCTCACATCATCATATTGCATTACCAGTTTGACTACCGCAGCTTTGCAGTACATTCAGTACAACCAAGTATTCTGTCAGGCCACCGTACCTGTGATATTCATTATTAATAAGGGGAACAGTCTCCAAGACATCCTTTTTTTATTAGGTACATTTATTCCAAACAAAGAATGAATTGTTAGATATTCACGCTTTCCAGGAGGAAACAAACATTTTGTTATTGAAATACCTGAACCATGCAATGCAATACAGTGCCGTAGCCCTTGAGCAGACCTTTTGTCTCCGCCCCCTGGATGTACAGTATGCTGGTGGAGCGCAGTGATTCTTACATTTTACAACAGGCTAATACAAAACCAACAGTCCTATAGGATCTAAATAAAATGGGCACATTAGAAGATTGGCTGTTATTTAAGAGCTATTGTATCGCCTTGTCTTGGGCCGCTCTTTTATATTGTTTCCACCCCCAACATCTTCTGCAAAGACCAGCTGTCTCGACCATAACTGGACGTAACATGCAGTCAGAACACCTAAAAATGGTTCATTGATTCAACTAAAAAGTCCTTTACTGTTACTGTATGTATTAGTCATCAGCTGTCCATGATGGCCTCAGTCAGATGTGTGATCTCCTCTTTTCTCTTCCATACCCCCCCACCTCCCCCGCCCCCGTCTTGTCAAACGCTCCCTCGTCAGGATTATGGCCGCGTTCCTCTCGGCTACGAGGATCTGTTCAGAAGGAAGCAGGAGCAGTGGGCTCATCATCACCACCACCATCATAACGCCAACAGGCCCTCCCAGTCCTCCCCCGTCTTCACCATCGATTTTGCAACCGAGGTAGCGACCAGACATGAGACGCGACACATGTGCACGCGCGTACGCACTGGCCATTGTTCAGGGTGTCGGTGGGCACGACGATTGAGATCAGAACGTCGCCATGACTGGCTGGTTAATAGTTTCACCGCAGCCACCTGAATCTGAGAGGAATAAATTACTTTTGTGATGAAGCGTTTTTAAAATATGTAGGATTAAATGCCTATCCCAAAAAGCACAGCTGTGCCCAATGCTATTTTGGTGGGGGGATGGTTGCTTAGCAACTGTGGAGAGAGATATCATAGCAATGCACAATTGTTGCGTTGCGTGTGGGTGAGTGTGTGAATGAGGGAGAGAAATGGTGAACGCGAGAGGAGAGACGTTAACAAGCAGTGACTCAGGCTTTCGGCGGAGTAAAACTTGTTCAACAGCATGTCAGATCTGTGAAGATATCCGCTTTCCAATTGAGCGCCGATTAAAGAAGCCATAAGTGACTGTGGAGTAAAATCTCAATTTGATTTTCATGCCTCTACGTAACGAGCATAAACTACCAAGACCAGCTAAAAGATTATTTCTACGTAAGGATACCAAGTGCTTGACACGAGGATCAGCAAACCAGCTCCAGGTCAGTTAGTGCCCTTCGGCTGGTATGTGAGCCCCTTTAAAACTCGGACCTCATGTTTAATATTCATTTGACATCACACCCCCGGGCCAAGTTAGAGTCTCTTGTTCACCTTATCTGCTTATTTTCGGACTGTGAGGACAATTGGAGGAACCCATATAGAGAGGTGGTGGAAGTGGTGAGTGAGTTTACCGCTGAGTCATTGTGTAATCCCATTCAATTCAATCTAGTTTGTATTGCCCAAAATCACAAATGATAAATTGGCCTCAGAGGGCTTTACAACTGTACAAATGCGACATCCTCTGACCCGAAACAGCAGGACCCCCCCCCCCCCACCCCACACCCCACTAAAAAAAACGTTATTCAATGCATGAGACAGAAATGAGTCCTATATTAGTAGCAGTAAGCCAAACAATGATTTACATGTACTACTACGTATAAAAGCTGCAGTGCTAGGATAGCAATCATAACAAAGGGTGTAATGGCGTCGGCAGCATCCTTCTAAGTGTCCCACTCCTTCTTTCAGCATGTGGAGAGCACCGGAGGCCAGTGTGTGGGGTGCAGGTTCAGAGGTGAGGAAAGCTTAGCGCACTACTCTCCGTGGTCCTGCGGGTCCATCGGCACGTGTCTCAGCCCCTTCGAGCCCGAAACGCTCGCACACGCCTCAGCTCAGTCCTGCTCAGAGCACTCGGTGAGACTCTTCCCGCATCCGCAAGTAGGCGCATGCACACATCTAAAGGCAAACCCTTTTTTTTTTTTTGTAAATGTTGAGATCTCAGCGTCCGCGTTCTTCTCATGCAGGAGTTGGATGGCGACGGGGGCGGGGGAGGTGGCGTCAGTAGTGTCGGGAAGCGGTGGCTGCATTCGCTGGATCATTACCGGCGCTTGAAGGACGAGGATCCCATCATTCCCTTCAGCGAGGGGCCCATCATCTCCAAGTGGGGGGCCATATCCAGGGCATCTCGCACGGGCTACCACACCACCGAGCCCATCCAAGCCAGGGCCTGCCAGGGCAGCGCCGGCACCACCCCCATCAGCTTCAAAGGTTAGGAGGCTTACAGAAGTCCTTTATCTTTTAAATGTTTCCACTTTGTTTTTGCTGCAGATATATATATATATATATCTTTTTTGAAGTCTCTAACCTCTTATTGCACCTTACTGTCGTCTATTACATTCATTTTATTATCATTATCGACATTAGGTCAATGTTATTTCTTTCTTTCTTTGCTTTTCTGTCAAAGATTACAGCCACCACTTGGATCACAGCGACTACAGGTGGAGCCCCAGAGGGTCAGACTCCTCCAGCCACTCCAGCTTCCTCGAGAGGTACTTCACTCTCACACACACACATCACTTTTGTTTTCTACTCAAAGCTGTCCGATTACCAGGGCATGAGTGCACAGTGCTTTGTAATTATTTTATTTTACTATTTCATTATTCATTATATACTCTTGATGCCAAGGATGCCCTTAAAAGATAACAAATACAGTATAAAATTGTGTGTATTTGTATGTGTTTTTTTAGTGAGCAGCTTCACTGCCGCCGGACTTCGTTGAGCAGCGCGGAGAAAACGGCGTCTGATCGGCAAGCTCCCGCGTCTGTCGCCTACAGCCGGGACAGTCGGGACCGGGCCGGAAGCGAACCGGACCCTGAGCGGGACATTGAGCTCGAACTGTGCGCATTTGACTTGGAGGATTCAGACCACCACGAGATCAAGTCTCAGGTTGGTATAATGGAGTAAATCCCAGTTGGGCGTTGGATCCCGCGCAGTAAAAAAAAAAAAAACCACACAGACGGCAAAGCAGGTGAAGGATGTTTTGAAGAGTTGCCAATCAGAACGTCCCGACGTTCTGATTGGACCGAAGTGCCGTCTTTGCCTCCCAGGAGTCTTTAGACCTGGCCGCACCACAGTCTCAGGACGCTTCCCACCTGCTCCCCCCTCCCCTCCCCTCCAGTGGAGGAGTATCCACACACAGAGGGTCCTCTGACAGACAAGATGGACGCTCACCTGCTGAAGAAGATGGCCTTCAGGTGAATTACCACGTTAACCAGGGTTCCACAGGGGGGCCCGCCCACCGAGGGAGCTTCGACTTGGCGTCCACGCCCCTCTTTCATTCCTTTTCTACCTTCCTTCTCCCCCCTCCCTCTCTCTCTCTCTCTCTCTGTGTTCAAGGAGGTCTGTGTCTCCCGCAGGAGGTCAGGGTGTCGGCAGGCTTGTGCTGCGTACCGGACCTCCGCGACCGGGGGGGGGGACACTTCCACGCGGGCTTGTCCGGAAGCGCCCGGGACCGAAATGTTGCTCAGCGGAAGCTAAGGGGGGAAACACAAAGTGAGAATCCGACCCGCGATAACTGAGAGCCGAGTCGCCTGCCTCCCAATCGCCAATCTACCGCTGCACACAGAATGTAATAATTCAGTTGTTTAAACCCCCCAAAAAACACACGACCAGTTCCCCCTGACAGAAGATGCTGAACATCGTAGCCGTCTGGTTTACACGTTGTTTAGTTTATTGTCATTCAACCAAGCTCAGAGCAAAAGTTTATTTGGGAGAATAAGCGTTTCATGCCACTTTTTAAGTATAATTTGCTATTTTACTTTTTTATGTATATCGTTCCCTTTAGTCAGTCTTTTTGTAGGTTGACAGCCCAAACTAAGATGCCAACAGACCAAATTTCGTCTCGGCCCCGACACGGTTGCAGTTGAGTACGCTGGATATTAAGTACAAGTACAGGAACATTTTTCATAATGTGGTAAATATGAATACGACACATTTACTGAATGTAATTGCTCTGTAGCTCGCGTCTGTTAAGACAGGCGAAGGTTTAGAGACACTTATCAAAGCACTCCTGACATCCTAGAAATATAAAAACTACAGAAAACAGAGGTCTTCATATGTTAACCTCTGAATTCTCCTGACTCGCATGAGATGAGAGACAGAACCCAACGGCTCAGTAATCAAAACCATTTGTCTGAGATAATTGATCACTGGTCAAAACTAAGATGTGTGTATTTTTTGTCCATACTACCTTTGCTGTATTCTTGGGTGTACGCAGACCTAAAAAATACCAATTGCTAATTTACAACATGAATTGTATTTTCAGCTGGAGCGAATTCAGTAGATTTCTATACCAGCCACTTGAACTCACTCAATCAATCTTAAAAGCGTTTCTTTCATCTCTGTGTGCCTGCAGTGGTTCTTCTAGTTGATCCTCCTCCAGACACTCTCGCTGGTCTCTCTCGGACACACACACACACACACACACACACACACACACACACACACACTCTCACCCACAGAAGATACAAACATGCAAGACAGTGGCCTTCCTCTTCCTCTTCGTCTCACACAGACCTAAACATTGATCTCTGATCAGTGACATGTGTCCAAGCCCACTGGTCCTTTTTCATGTAAACCTGATCTCACAAACTGGGAATCACTTTTTCGTAAGCTCACAGCATTTTCTGTGCTTTCCAGCGTGTTCACGTCCACGTCCACAGTGTAATATCTAGAAGTCACGCATGATATTTCAGGTTAAAGCCTACACGAGTGAGCGACACCACTTCTTGTGTTTTGTCTTTGTTTAACTTTTTGAAAATGACTGCTTTCTTTTATTTGATGCATCGCTAACTTCTGTGAAGTTGTATGTCGGGGTATTTTGTATTACGATTTGTGTTACTCTTTGTATTCTTTGCTACATTTTAGAGACAAAATTGATTGTCTTGTGTTATGTCACTATGCTGTCTGGTTCATTTTCTGCAGCTTTGCTTCACTTCCTTTTACACACATGTGTGGCTTTGTTTTAATGACTCAAATAAATAACATGAAAAGCGGAAACTCATTCTGAATATACAGGATTTAAAATCATGTTTATATCCTACTCTGAATCTTATGAGATTTGTGTAGAATGAGAAGAGGATGGCTGACGTGTATTTAAATGTTTACAGCTTCTGCCGTCATTTCTTCTCATTTAAACAACTGCACCTTTTTCCAAAAATGATCTTCTCAGACAGATTTTACATTAAATCCTATTTTAGAGGATGGCAAAATAGCTGTACATGTGAAGGCTGCTTATTGAGTTTCAATTTAGAACTTTATTTAATCTGAATGATTATTTAAACATTGGGCTGGTAACCTGTTTAGGGTTTTTCTCTTTTTAAAAACTTGTGTTTTGTGGAGGTGATTTCTGAGGAAGCGCTAGAACAGTGATTAAGCTGCTCCAAATCATGCCATCAGCTCAGCTACCTTACCCTCACTCTGCATCTGTTTACAGCTTCAACCTTGAAGTCACGTGACGTTAAGTGCCATTTAGTGTACAGTATATTCCGTACATGCGATTGTCGCCCGGCTTTTCATATTATTCAACTGTGAACCGCGTGAGGAGGGAGAAGGCGTAGTCGAGGTGAGAAGTGAGATACTTGTTAAGCAGTTCTGCTTTGTCCCACTAGAGGAGGCTAGATGCTCACCCGTCTGAATCGCTCAGGGAAGACTTAAGTTGCTCAGCTACTTTTTCCACATCCGTCACTTAAATATTCTGTGGAAGTATGTACCTGAATTTCAGGTACATACTTAAGAAACAACCCTTTCACCCAAAGCGTAACAGGTTAGAGATTATATTGTTTGCCAATGTTTACTTTGCCAGTGTTTTCTCTCTCAGTATCAATATTGGCTTTGCTATTCCTGTTTAATGGGAAAGGGCTGGGCACTGCTGTACGTAAAAGCAGTATTGTGAGTATTGAACTAACACCGAGTGTCTACAAGGCACCTTTTTTGTGGCCAACGGCACTGATTCCCACTCCGTCACTGCCAGCGGGTGCACTCTGCCCGCCCCCCACCCTCGAGCCCCCACCCTCCATCATCCTGGACATCCCGTGTCATGCATGTGATATAGTCTCTCTTGTGATGGCAAAGGAGTATTGATGATTCTGTAGTTGTGATACAACACACCCAGCGCTGTAAGAGTTCTGCACATGCCCACTGTGTGGCCACGTCAAGTGCTGAAGTTTGCTTGCAACATTTTACTCGTTTGTTCATGAAAATTCATTCTTGTTTGATAGGGATTCTATTGTTCTTACGATTATTATTGTTACCACCACATTGGGTTGTTGTCGTGGTAATTTTCCTCTTTGGTATATTCTAAGACAGCTTATTTGTTTTGAATTTGATAATTTGCTGAAACTGTTTTTTATTAGACCAGAAAGTGTCTCATTATTCTATATTATATGGGAAAAAGCCTATTTGTTGATTGTGAATCATATGATAAACTGATGTTTTCTGACTATTCATGTCTGTATTAGACATTTTATTTGCAAAATCTATTGTTCGATTGAAACGTAAATGAATTATTAAGAGATGGTACACATCTGTCATTGTGTACAGTCCGGCACCATCATTGGATGGACTTAAAGTATTGACGCTCATTTATACAACCTGTAATTGCCAGATATATTTCAATGTTTAAGTCTCTGGGCAGTTTTGTAATGTTTCAGAATGAGGAAAACAAATTCCTCAGACAGCATATCTAAAATGTTCCCATGATAAATAATACTGTTACGTATTCCATTTATTTCCTTGGAAATATCACATTGTGAAAGGTTTCCCTTTTACTGTCGTAAATGCAGGACCGGAATCGGTCAAATCTATGATGATAATGATTTATGTGCTGTTGACAAAACCTTTTGAGAATCCTTTGACTGACTGACTGATTCTGTGAATATTCTGGTTTGTTTATCTGTATTGCACTGATTTGCAGACAGCTTGGCCGAGCAGCAGATGGAATTATTAAAAGGCACATAAAATTGCATGCCACAATAAACCAACAGCAAATTATGTTACTTTGTGATTACTGTCATGATTTAAGATAAGAGACGTTAGATAACGGAATTAATTCATAGGAGAGTTTTTAATATTTCTCGTTTAAGAATAAGTATTCATTTATTTCGTTTTCTCTTTGAACTCGCTGTTAAAGGGGAAAGTTTTTTTTCCACAATATACAGTACAACACATAACTATAGAAGCAGGGGTACATATTTCTCCCATTCTTAGACTGACCTTTCATCTTTTATATCCCCCAGAGAGTTTCTTCTTGGGCTATTGAAATGCTGAAAGACTTGAAAGTCAGCACTGTGTTTAACTGCCAATATGCTTCGCTCACATATACTTTACTCAGGTTTTCGCATGCTGTGTAGTGTTGTTGTATTCTAGTATTTGAATTTAATCCGGAAACAACTCCCTGTAAAAATATCAGTGGGAATTCTACCAGAGAAAAAGGTCCCTAATGAAAGAGGAACACTTAAAACTGTCTGATCCAAGTTTCTCAAGTCGACGTTTCTTTTGGAGACAGAACACTTGAGATAGATATCTGCAACAGAACTACGACTTAGTTAAACTTTACTGCTGTGATATTTCACAGACTTGTCTCCCTAGAGACACTCATCCAAGAGAAAAACTGATAAAATCCTGCACCAAAAAAAAAGAACAGAATCGCCCTTATCTTAAAGACTGAGCTTTATCGAAATCAAAAGTCAAGCCGCTTCACTGAGACATGAGACATTAAGACTCAGGCCCGTCTCGGCCGATTGGAGACTTGCAGCATTATGTCATTAGGTGGTGAAAACGCTTCCTCTATCCTCCCTCAGCACAGGACAGACGGACACCGATGTGCGCATGCGCAGTGCGGGTGTCAGCGGGTTGGTTGTGCCTGTGTTTACAGCTCTGCTGGATGCTGATGTTATTGGGAAGTGCAATGTTGTACCGACCGCATTGGAATATATCCAACCGTGGGAATTAAGGTAAACTCTTTTGCACACGAACTTCAACCATGAACCCGAAATGCAGCCGTTTCTCCAGTTGCTCGAAACCATGTAGTATTCCGAGTGTTGGCTCTTAAGTGCTAGTGTAGCATGGCTAGCAGGCGTTAGCTAGCCCTGCTTACCTTACACACAGCAATGGCCTGTTTACAGGCTTCAGGGAGGACCCGTCAGCGCGTCAGTTACTGCGAACACCTTTCCGTAGCAGTCGGCCTTTTGTCGCGGGGAAGTGTTTCGCTCATTGGTTCACTATGCGGTCGGCTATTTCTGGAGTGGACCTTGAATCGATGACTGCTGAGTAGCTATCTTTGCTAACGTCAGGCACGTTTGTGAAGGCTAACGTACAGGGGCTCGCGACATAAGGCTCGAGTGACGTTGATTACCAAATATATATTTATACATCTATCTATCTATCTATATAATGTCAACTGTTGATGAAGTGATGTATTAACGAGCTGTATCGAGACTGAACAGGTGTACTGGTCATGGAGCAGGTTTCTTTGGGTTCAGGTGAACTGTTAATTGGTGCAACGGTGACACCAGAGAGCCAATTAAAGCAGTGACGTCACAGTATAACTATTAAACTGAGAACAACCACGCCGGAGTAGTTGTGAATACTTTCTCTATATGGGAATCACTCATTTATTTGTGCATCATTTGCTTTCAACATGCATCATGTGTATTTTCAGTAACATGGTTTATGTTTACTGTAATGCGATTTTTTTTTTTAACCTAAAACCTACAACCTAAACCTTTGTTGGAGTTCTCCCATTATGTGATGTGAGCATCAGGGATTGTTTTGAGGAGCCTGCACTGGCGTGCATGTCTTCTTTTTGTGTGTGTTGAATTACATGAACGTGTTCTACCAGTCCCACTTATTCAGGGCCAGAAACACATATTACAATGAAGGAAATACGATGTACAATCTAACCGTAAAGAATAAGTAGCTATAAAAACATATGGTTGATGCAAACTTTAGAATAGTTAAAATATATATATATGCTTTTTGAATCCATCTTTTTTGACCGTGATCTCAACATTTTAGAAAGGTGTGACAAACGGCATCCCTCCTAAAAAGTGTACTGAAATCTGTATTTTAGCACAGTTCTTTCAATGCGTGGCTCTAAACTTGTTTGCATGGAGAAGACTCGCTGCCGTTAGCAAACTAGCAGTCATTTAGCATAATACAACGAGCTACTATGGTTTACCAAGAATAGCAATATTTATTCCAGTAGCTTTAGTCTCATGTTGATTCTAATATTTCTCCGCAGTGGATGTGGTGCATGTGAACAACTGTCTGATTCTTCCTCTTCTCTTTCCTGAAAAGTTTTACAATAGTGCAGCCTACGCGTGCCCTAACAATTTGTGTATGCAAATATTTTCTGTGTTAACAACAATCGATGTGTTTGCCAGAGGAGGGAATATGTCGGTACTGCGTCAGCTATGCTTTTAGCTTTTATCTATCTCTACCAACATGATGTGATATCATTTATATTTGGGGGAATGAACAAGGGACTATACAATGATTCTAAAACCAGTTATTTGTTTGAACAAAATGAACACTGCTAAAGATAATAACAAGCAATGCTATCCATCAATAGAAAGGCCCCCGAAGAATGTATTTCAGCGTCTGCAGCTCATCTTCTCCTCTAAAGTCAGCCATAAACAAAATGCAGAGCGTATGAATTTACTAACCGCAGCTCGACACGTTGAATACAATCCGCCCACCAAAGTGTCAAATGTAATACCTAATGCGCTTCCTTGAAATCCCACACATCCTTCCTCTTATCCGCAGTTCATATTACACATTCAGCCAATCGAGGGCACATTTTTTTGGAAAATGGGGTGTGCGTCAAAGACTCGCGGGGGGCGAAACGAGGAAACGTGATCATTTCACTTGTTCGGAGATCAATCGTATTCCTCTCGGCGAAAGATCTCGTGGTGTGTGAGCTCCTGACAACGGCCCTTCGGACCATCGAGCTACAGGGTTATCATTTGATTTAACAGACGCAAACGTAGGTGCTGCTGTATAGTGGGTGCACGTGTTTGGTTTCTTTCTTAGTTTTTGTTCTGGCTGCATGTTTGAATCTCCGATCACTGACACATGCTGCTTTCAGGGGTTAAATGTCTCAAGGCCTTCATGCCCTTCACCAGTGTTTGTTGGAGCCGACCCAACTAAACACACACAGCCTGAAGTCTCCCTCGCAAACCATTGTTTGGTTCCTTTATAAATCCACAGAGATGCAGCACCGCTTGGCACATTTATGTGGTTAGGCGCGCTCTGTGCAACGTCTAACTGACACACACTCAACATTTCAGAATTATTTTTTTTCCTTTGTCAAGATCAACGGTTTGGCCGTTGGGTTTGGGACGTGCAAAGGTTGAAACAGTTAGTGCTTCTCTTTCTAAAATTAGGGGTTTGCCATTTCAGAACTCTGCCTTTGGTCGTGTGCTCCACCTCACCCTTCTGTGTCACTCTCTACCTTTCCTCTCTGACTCCTCCTCCATCGGCGAGCTGAAAGGGACGTTGTTTCTGGCCTGAATGCTCTCCGGCTGTGTCCTCCTCTCCCTGGTGATACGTACGCGCGGCCCAGCTGGCATTCAGCAAAAATAAAAAAAAGAAAGGTCTACACATTGAAATGACGTGCTCGATACGGAGATACTAGTCGCTGTTGTTTGGTCCAGAAATTATTCAGTACTCTGAATGATCCATTGCTTCAACACAATTTGAGTTGGAAATATAACTAAATTATTCATAGAATTATATTTAAATAATATTTTACCCCCTTGTAAATTAAATACAAAGGTCTCTGTGGTAAACACAAGCTGAAATTATATAATTATTATTTGAAAGCCAGTATTTGTTTGTCGATGTCCCATTGACAATAATCCCATTGACAATAATCTCGGTTGCAGCGTTACATTGCAAATGTCTGGCATCGACAGTGTGATGAATGTCCCTCTGGTCTCTTTAGAGAAGTGCACTTTTATGTAAAGGGATGCTTTTTATGAAGTATTGCCCCTAAATTATCCCCCTGAGAACCGGAGTTCGCTTGCAGAGCTGTTTCTGTCATACGTGTTACCACATCGGCCCCAAATGAAGCCCTGCAGATGGATACCGATACACAACCCTGTTTCTCCTCTCGCCTAAGTCATAGAATATTCAAATGAATGGAAAAAGATACGCTTTACAACTAAGATTTAATGATTTAAAACCAAGAATGAAACAAACGGGTAGAACATATCAAGTGTGGCTGGAGGCGGCAATAGTGAGACGGATTAAAGAAAGTCTGCTGCCCTCGTCTTGCGTCCTCAAACTCATTAAATTAGAAAGAAGTTATTTCTCTCAGAAAACTGTCTTCAATTTTAAAACATTTTAGAAATGTCAATGCTAATTCTTCTAACAATTAGTCTCACAATGGGCCGTGGATTGTGTGTTGTGTGTGGCCGGAAATGTACAAGGACACTGAAAACATTGATAAGGGCCGGCGAAGCCTGGCAGGAGCGGGGAGACGGATGTCGCCGGGGCTCGGGGAGGGTGACAAGGCCGCCGTTATGAGCTCGTCTGAGGCGCCAGCCAGTCAGCGACGCAGAGCGGGAGGTCTGTCTGTGTGTGTGTTCGTCCGGGCGGTTCAGGGCTCACGCCATTTGTATAGCAATAATAATAATAATATTATTACAGCTGCCTGTGCAGGGGTATGTGTGTTTCTGCGTTAAACCTGATTTTCTTTTTTTCTAACGCGTTTGTGTGTGGTTGATGGCGTGGGGTGTTTGCTGCTCGACACATAAAAGAAACATTGAAGCTGATCGCCATGTTTCTCAGATGACGCCACCGGTGGTCCAAGTCTCGGCCTCTACGTGGCCCTCTGAAGCGATTGACTTTGGTTTCAATTAGAGGACTGAAGAACGGCAAAGGTGGACAGTTTGTTTCATAGTTGCTATTTAATTGTTGTTACTTGGTTTGTTTCCATGGACCTCTCTCTCATGCTTTCATGTAGTACATCCATCAACTGAGAAACTGTGGTGTAAATAAGACGCTGGCAGTCAGTACTGTCAACAGCCGCTAATGTAGCAGAACTGATAAAAATAAAGATGTACACAAAAACTGAAAGTTCACCAACCAAAACCTGTGGAGAAAGCACCAATCACGCAGAGGCGGAGTGTGCTAATGAATGGAATTCAGCCAAAAGTAGAGTAAACATCTGGAATGTTTCTTTAAGATGATAAGCCCGAGGAGATCAGGAGGAGGAGCGATGCAACGTTCCACTACGGTTTGCTTGCAGATGCTGTTTTTCTTTCACAATGGTCGTTTTTTAATAATTTAGACTTCAGACTAGTCTCCCTCAGTCGGTATATTAATCTGTAGCTAAACACATAAGGAGCACATAGTGTTGTCACGTCCTGGTCTTGGATGGAGACACCTGTCAGGGTCATTTTCTACTAAGTCGGCGGTGAACACAACAACTTGAAAGCAAAAATACATCTTTTTTTTCTTTTTTTCCTGCGTGCTGGCCACGTGAGCGCTTGGACCTGAACGCGATAGGACTCCTAATTGGTGCGATCTGGAGGATACACACAGGCTTTAGAGGTCAACGGGTGGCGGTTCAGTGCTCGACGTAGGGCCATCGTGCGTTTGTTTGGTGGTAACCCTCGCTGGACTCTACGACCTCATCGTTCAAGTTCTGCAACGCGGGTGGAAAAAAAAACAGCACCCCGGGACTTTTTTTGGGGGGGTGGATGAAAACCAGCAGCTCGTTTTCCCCGTTTACCCTGCAAAGGTGACAAGACCCGGCCTGCCCTGTCAGTTTCCGTCCCACCGCGCTTGGCAGCGTAGTAATCCCGTTCTTAAAGACGTTGTGAAGCCCTCAGTCACAGGGAGCAAGACACTCGTATGGTGGTTTGTTCTGCGTCGCTGCAACAATGTTATCAGAAGTATCCCACATTATTAACAGCTTTGACCTTGTGAGCTGCAGACTTTGTTCTACTCCTTACTTCCCCATTGTCAGACATGCTTTGAATAGGAAAGGGGAGGGGGAGGGGGGGGGGGGGTGTCCGACAGGAGAGCAAAGTGCAGGAAGCGGCGAGCGAAAACAAGAAGATTGCAGGGAGTTGGATGAAGAAGAAAAAGAGGGAAGGAGTTGGAGAGGGGGAACGGACAGAAATAGCTTGTTATGGTCTCTGGCTGAAGTCCTGCCAGAAGCTTCTGTTGCTCCTTTCTTCTCTTGTCACGCTCTGTTCTCAAGAGCCACCGATGGAGCTTCACATCATTTGGACTCCAAAGGGAATTCTTGACTCAATTTCCTCTTCCTTGCCATACCGTCACTCACAAATGTAGACAAAAAATACTTATTTTGATACAGTTTTTTAACTTTTCCTCTTGCGGTCCAAAGACAAATATACTTTTTTTCTTGCTCACCTGTTGCTCACCTGTTCCAAACTTTTCTACGCCACCCAATCAGCGCATCAGTTTTCTTTTTTGTTGTGTGTTTCTGTCCATCTAACGTGGGGTGGGTGAGAGGGGCGGGGATCTTCCTATGGGTCAATGCCGACACGGAGCGTGTGGCGCGTCCCTTTCCTTTTGTGCTGTGCACTGTGCATGTTTCTTTGTTTTTAAATGTGACACTTGCATCCCCATGTCGTCGCATTGCATTAAGCTCGTTTATTCTGCTGGGACACACGGATCGGCCTCACAGGACCCCGGCTCTCCTCCTTCATGTTCACCATCGCTTGATCGAGAATTTTCGTTTACTATATTTTTCTCTCCTCAGGGTTTATAAAGTTCCCTAAAGGTGCTTAAAAGGAAAATGAAACACAATCCTAAATGGTTTGCCCTTTGTTTATATGCGAGGGTCACCTTCTAAAGAGTTTCCAGTTTCCAGCCTTATATGATGCCTTTCATGGATTTCATCACATCATGACTGTTTTCTGCTTCTTTTCTTCATCTTATTTTTTGTTCTTTTTCTAGGTGATTTTGCTCATCATCTCCCACCACTCTCTCCTCCCGTCTCCCATTCATGAGCAGCGTGGCTGAGTTAAACAGCGGAAGCCATGGATGACAAGGGCTCGGTGGGGAAGATTAGCGTGTCTTCGGACTCAGTGTCCACTCTCAACAGTGAGGATTTTGTCCTCGTGTCCCGGCTGGGGGACGAGACCCCCTCCTCCACTAATAATGGTAGTGATGACGAAAAGACAGGACTAAAGGTAAGGATGGTCGGGCGTAGGTATGGAGGAGAGCGAGCGGAGACGCCGCGTTGAGAATAAGCGTCTGTCCACGTTCACTGTGAAGACGAAATCATAAATGAGCTGCTCGATGCTGATAAAAGTCACAATCTGAAACACGACGAATGAGCACTGCTGGAAAACAATTTGCTAGAATAACAGTTCAAACTGTGCTGCAGGCTAAATGGCATCACAACAGCACTCTTTATCGAAGAATTTAATTTTAAAACAGAAAGTCACGCTTTGTGCCATGCAGAGGATTTTGTATAATTCTTCTTTCATTGACTCTTAATAATTATAATAATTATTATTAATTATAATAATTGTTGGATATATTGTTGTTCGCAAAACATAGTTTGTGTAATTACAAAGCCAACCAAGGAATATTTACTATTGTGTTGTTATTATTATCATTATTATTATTATTATGATTATTTTTTATCTTTAGTTGGTAGAGGGGTGTTGAGGATTTATAACCTGGACCACAACATTTTCAATAAAATCTCAACAATTTTGAAAACTAGTTTAGGATTATATCTGGTGCCAAAACAGCAGGATTTACCAAAACATCTGGATATAAGTTGAGTCTTTCCGTAGTTATTTAGTGTAACTCGTGAACAGGTCAGGGGACACAAGCCATACACATTCCTGTTCATCACAGCTCTCGTCCATCTTTTAACACTCTAACCATAAGGCTAATCATGTCTTGTTTTTGGCTTCCCCCACATTCTCACTCTACCTTCTTCTCGTAGTTCGTCTGAGGTTTGTGTGTCTTCTACGTGATTGTCCATTTTCATTTGTCCGTATGCAAAGAAATCTTCATATCTGGTGCAGAGGACACTGCCTTCTGCAGTAAGTGTTAGTTCGTAAACGGCACGTGTGACCTACAGGATGCCCTCTGCCATTCAGTTAGTGCTCGCTCAGCAGTTGCTGCTTTCCAAAGTGTGCGGTTGTGCAGCAGCAGCAAGCAGTTTTGATGTCCAGGGGAAAATAAAGATGTTTTGTGAATAAGGTGTGTTTCCGCAAAGATGGGGAGGACTTTTTGAGAAAGAAATGTGGCTATGGGCAACCATCCTGTGTGTCTCCCCAATGGGTTCAGGTTACTCCTCTCACAATATATTGAATTGACTTAAGTAGCTGGCTGGCATGTCCATTAGCTTACATCAATACCTTAGCATGCGTTTTGACATTGGAGACTGTTGTGCCAAAGGATACCAGAAGATGGCGCCAGCAGCGCGCGGATGTCGCAGCGGTTGAAAGAAGGGGGTCACGTCAAGTCTTTTGCAGCGCTCGGACACGATGTTTATGCCTGTGCAGAATGTATGAAAGGATCGCAGTCATTTGAAACCGCGTTGTAGCATCAGCTTTGTGCAGCCCGTCTCCACGTGTAGTGGTGAAATCACGACATCCGCTGAAAACTGGTCACCCAGATGTCATGTATCGGTTGTCGACCGACACACTTGTGTACATTTCCCTCCCAGTCAGCCAGGAGTCAGTGTGTCTAAACTTGTTGTTTGTTATGCAGGTGATTTCTGAGGAAGGGGTCAGCTTTAAGGTCAGTCTCTTCTCTCGCTAGCTCTGTCTTTCTGTACCTCCTCCTTGCTTGTGTTGTATCTATTTTGCTTCTCTTTCTGTGATGTGATTTTTCCGTGGTGATTCTGTCTGTGATTATTTGTGCTCTCTGTATTCTTGTTCCCTGTTGAGGGACGGCCTGAGCTGGGCCTTTTTTTTTTTTTGACGCAGGTTTTGATTATAGCCATGGCAGACGTTTAACGTCTGCCTAACACAGTTTTATAGTGAGTTATGTCAGATGTGTACACCTATATTTAGAATTGTACCGCCCCCCCCCTACCATGTCTTGCACTAGAGTCTATTACCATAGTCGCTTTAGCTGTAATCAGGCTCTAGAATTTGGCTGCAGTCTGACCGCATTGAACACATTACGGTGTACAGGCACAGATATTATTCACGGCTGTCCGTACAGAAGATGTAGTAATGAAATATGATGGTCTTTTTGAATCGTCTGTTCCTGTCGGCCCAGCAAAGCAGTGCCTTCCGAGGCTTAAGTGTGCTCTACGTTGCTTCCCTAACATCTGGCTGCGGAAATGAGGCACGCCTCCTCTTGTGGCCCCTCACGGTGTGTCCAGCCTCAAGCTTGCTCTCGGATTGCTGTTTGTTAGCTTTTGGAAATATCCCACGCACTAGTGTCGACACGGCTCATCTTGTGTCTCGTTAGCGGTGTTTCAGGACACAAACTCACGTGCCCACTAATCACTAATCATTGGTTAGATGTAACAAGGAGGTAGAGCTGATTGTCATCACAAAACCAAGCATCTAAAACAAACCGTTTTAATTTCAATACCAATGTTCAACCGCACAGCTTGCGGAACATCTTCTGTAAAATAGGATTGTAACACAGTTGATGTAGAACGATAAGCTTAAATTAAATGTGTATCGTGATAACTAAATTGATTCCGTTTTGTGACGATCTGTTCTTGTATTTTCTTGTGCTTTCTATGCTTGCCTTTGCCGTTGTTCCTCGGTGTTGTATTCATGTCTGTCTGTGTGTTTGTGTTTGTTTACGCCCCTCTGTTTGTGTGTGCGTTTGTGTGTCTGCGTCAGATCGTGGGGAATGGAAGTGAGCAGCAGCTCCAGAGGGAGTTAGAGGATGTCCTCATGGACCCGTCGGTAGCTGACACTGGCCTCAAATCAGAAACGGTAATGGAAAACCTCGGCGCACTTCCTGCCACGGCGTCACCTGTACCTCCGGGCTCCGACCCCCTGAGTGCACAACCACCCAAGTTGGAGATGGTGCTCCCTGTTCAGACGGCGCAGGAGAGTGAGCTGAATGAGCGGTCGTACCGAGGTGAGCGGCGGTGGGACTTTTCTCATCCTCTTCTGTGATGTGTTCATACGTTCAGCTTAATATCATAGAAGCACCCAGATTTCTAAATCACACGGCATGCTCACGTCTTTCCACTTCCTCCCTGTGCCATTTTCTATTCATTTGCTTGTCTCATTTCATTGAGTGACCTTCTCTCACACGCACCTCTCCTATTCCGTGTCTACTTCAGCTCATTTCCACTGTGCAGAGGGAAAGTCTGCTTCCCTCCATTAAGGGCCATGACAGTCCTATGTAACCATAAAGTCACGGCAGCAGCTCTAAAATGATCAAATCTTTCGCCTTTCCTTTCGTTCACTACCCTCTCCCAATCCATTAACCCGTGTCAGCGGATGAGTCCTCGTCAGACGGAAGTCCCGGCAGCCCCATCCCAGATGAGGACAGCGTTGTGTTCAGCCAGCTGACGTACCTCGGCTGTGCCTCAGTCAACGCCCCCCGCAGTGAGGTGGAGGCCCTCCGTATGATGAGCATCCTCAGAGGGCAGTGCCAACTCCCCCTGGATGTCACACTGTCTGTGCCAGGCGTGTCCGAAGGCACCGTCAGGTAATGTGGGGGGTCGGGGGGGTTACTGGGTCCACTTCACTCCACTGTGTGTACATAAAGTCTCATCGTGCCACAGCGATTTTGAGGATATTGCATGGTTGGTTTTTAATTTATATTCTGAACAGGTTGCTGGACCCTAATACCAGTACAGAGATCGCCAACTACCCGATCTACAAGATTCTGTTCTGCGTGCGAGGCCACGATGGCACACCGGAGAGCGACTGCTTTGCCTTCACCGAGAGCCACTACAACGCAGAGATCTTTAGGATCCACGTGTTCCGCTGCCAAATCCAAGAAGCGGTGAGGGCTCAATCCATTTCATTACGTTTAACTACATTAGCTGAATTTAATGGATGCATTTCACATTACTCTTTTTTTAATTTTTTTTTACCCACACCTTTTCTGTCTCTCCCACGAAGGCACGTATAGATGTGTACACACTCGTATTGTCAGCAGCATTGCGGTTGATCTCCCTGTAGCCCCCCCTGCAGGGTTAGCAGCATTGCGGGAACTCCTTCAGTGGTCCACGGGGGATTATGTCATGCACCGCACGCAGCGATTCAATGCACATGTATACAAAGTACACACAACGCCCTCCCCAAGCTAACTTATAGGGGTGTGTGTGTGTGTGTGGTGGGGGGAGGGGGGGGTCATTGCTTGAATACAGAAGCTTCTGAAATATAATGAAGAGTAACGGAAATTGACTCCTGGAACTGGGTTAAAGTATATATTCAGTGACCTGAATTCTCCCTCATGGAAGCACTCTCCTTCGTTACTAAGAGCCCCCTGACAGATGCTACTTCATCCGGCCCACATCATCCCACGATCCAGTTTCTCAGACAGCCGCTCGTAACACACAGGCTAACACTAATGCATATGCGCACACGCAAAGCCACACAAAGAGAATCCCCAGAGGTAATTCACTTCTTTACTTAGCAACAGGACAGCTCTGTCTTTGGCGCTGTAGTCTTTGTCTTCCTCCCTGCGAACAAAAGGCAGGTCCAGTCGTAAACCTCAAATCCACTTTAAAGAGCTCCCAAGGCTTCTTTATTAATTTCATCAGTACCTCTGTACTGAGGCAAGCTTGTGGAAGCCAAACTCCGCTTCAGCAACACTCTTATTTGCCTCGGCTGTCTCGTTTTGCTTTTAGCAATTAGCCCAATTGTTAAATAATCACTGTTAAGAGGATCTTTACCATTCTTCACTCAAAGATTTTGCGATATTTAAGCCAAATCACAGCAGCAAATCTCATCTTATCAGAGCAAGCATTTTCTTTTTCTGATTTGTGGATTTTAGAGCTCCACCTATTCCTACATAAAGCGAACCTCCTCCTCAGCCCTGCTCTGCCTTTTTTGTATTGATGGTGGTGATGTAGAGCCTGCGTACTGTCCTATCTAACGCTTCCCTTCAGTGCCCATGAAGCTGCTGCTCCCGTCCAGGGATGAATATCCCGTGTTCATTTGTTACTTAAATGATTTGGGCTCCTAAAACAAATTGAAATCCCATGTTTGGAATCAGAAAGAGAGATGAACGCAAATTGACAAATAGATGCAGCTCGTTCGCATGACATCAGTGGAAAATGTTTTAAAGCTTCATGTCATTGTGCAAAGGAAGGTAATGCTGCCAAGTAGGAATAAATAAGAAACGCTATGTACCTGTAATTACTTCCAGGTCTTAAAAGCTAATTCCAAAACGCAGTATATAATTTACCTTTCATAATAAATTTGAGGGTAAAAACAGGTTTCCTCTACAGGCTCACATGGAAACCAAAAGGATTGATATGTCTTCGGTACGACTGCCCCTAATAGAGCTCCTTCCGACTGCACACAAATAATCAAAAGGCCGTTTGTAGGCAGCTGAAACGGATCAGTTGAGACTCCAGCATTGATGAGTAACCAAGAATGGGTTATTAGTTATTTATCATAAATTCATCCACGGAAGGGGTGACCCCCATCACAACTATTCGTATCTCTCATCTCTTGCATCCAGATCCCTCTGGGTCCTGAACAATCATCCCCCTTGCAACACCTGAACATCCTCCTACTGTACCGAGAACAAAACAAAGGCCTTTTGTAACACAGTTCAGAAGCTGCTTTATACCTTGACGCAAAGGAGCGTGGTTATTTATTGATAACTGCACTTTCCCCACTGCAACTCTCCGTCACTACCACCAAAGCTCTGCTGAGTACCAGAATGCTGCATAAGATGATCCGAAACCACAGTGCTGTGGTCCCCTATTTCTGTTACCATACATACATGTTTGTGCAGTAATAATCAAAAGATAAATACAATACTTTTGTCCTGACAAAACACAAAGCTCACCATTTAAAGTGTTGTGACTGGAAAGTAAATTTTAATAAATATAAATTGCCAGTTTTCCACAGTTTGTCCCCTGATCTCACATTCTGAGATTGGAGATTTTGCAGGACCTCAGTCTCCGGGAGGACTGAGAGGCCTCTTCTCATTGTTAATAGGAACAATACCTCCACACACTCCACACTGGCGCTTGTGAATCAGTGTGTTGATTAAAACTCCAGATGTTTTATAGAGTAGTGGGTCATTAGAAAGGCTTTTTAGCTCCCTGTTCTGCAGAATTACATAAAACATCTGCAGAGGTGTGGTTTAGTTTTTAATCAAAACTAATTACTGTCGTTTTTTTCTGCGTACTGTTTATATTTTTGGCTCAAAAAAAAACAATTTTATGGTCTGAAATACGTTTCCTCTACAGAAGCCGCTAAACTTTGTGTCAAAATTGAACTACACCCATGAGACACTAACTTGTCTTAGGTTGTCTCTTCTCTTGTTTGAATAACGAAGCTTAGGATTTCCCACTGTACTTTTAGGCTTCTCTAAATTCTTTGCCCGTTATTTGAATGTCTCGCGTGTCTTTTTCCGTCCCTCCTCCAGGTGAGCAGGATACTGTACAGCTTCGCCACGGCGTTCCGGCGGTCAGCGAAGAAGATACTTCTGTCATCACAGCAGCCTGCGCCGCTGACCCCTGACAGCGACCTGTTCACCTTCACTGTCAGTCAGGAAATTAAGGAGGATGATGGCAAAGGCACCTTCAGGTGACACTTTCATTCACTCGTTTGAATGAGCCGCCCGCTGCTGCCCCCCCCCCCCGTCTTGCAGTCCAATATCTTGATCCCATGTATACATTAAAGTCCGTCTTTTTCGACACAAGACTCCAACAGAGAGTTCCTGTGTTTGCTCCATACATGGGACCTTCCGTGACCTTTTCTATTTTTATTTAGCTTTCCTTTACTACTGAGACCCTTCCTTGTGTTCACAATCAACCCAAGGCACTCAGCTTATTTAGAAAAAATACCAAACAAAAATCACGCCCGAGGTTATTTTCAGCCACGACATATTCTCCTCATTAGCCCTTTGTTGATTATTTCTTAGGGTTCTGACTTCCAAGAAAACAGCTCTCACATGCAAGCATGCTTATGTGTGAAAGCAGTTTCCTAGAAATGAAATGAATGTCTCCATAGAAACTGCAAAAACAATATATTCAATTCATTGTTTCTTTTAATAGGCTGAAAGTCTGTTTATCTGGCAATCGGAGGATCTGGTTACAGTGTAAAACCATGACTTTCTTATATTATAGTTCTATTTAAAATCTGGTACATCAAAAGGGGGTAGTGTTTCTGGTTTGAGAGCACTGCATGAAATCATGGCAGTCATGTTGTAATACATCATATTGATTCATATTCAGAAACTTTGTACTTAGGGGTTTCTTCGGTCTTTCCTCAGGAATTTATTATTTTGAGATGGTTGATTACTCTTCCTGTCTCAAATCTGGTTCTTTTCCAGCCCTGAAAGCAGAGCAGGAAAAGAACCAGAGAATGGCTCTCGTGCACACTTTTATTATGAAAAATGGGTCTATTCTGAATATAAGCTGTGGTCTTACTCTTCTTTTGTTCAGACTGGCTGATTGATGGACTAGAGATACTAGAGGTTCATTGGTCTAGTTGCTTGTTTTAGTTTATTAAAACATGATGAACTTTACAATTGCTGTTTTCCTACTCAGTCGAGAACCAACCAACCTGTAGGCCTGTGGTCATATTGTTAATTTCATAGGATTATGTTTAAAAATAAGGTCTAATTGTGTATTTGCCTCACTGCGTCCCTTGCACAATAATCTCAGTTTTTTGTATCGATGATCTGTTGACATATTATTTCTTGTGTTTACATATTCAGTGCTGTAGTAAAAGACAAGGACAAGCAGAGCTTCAAGCTGCGTGCAGGAATGGACAAGAAAATTGTTATTTATATCCAGCAGACCTCTAATAAGGAAC